CAGGTGTGATTGACGTCAGTATTCAAATTTGATTGATCGCCAATGTCCTGAAACTGTAACGCGCCGCTCCAGGATAGGCGCCATCGTATATGCTGGGATTACCACACGGGTTCAAAAGTCCAAGGTGTTCAATGGACCTTGATGTCCGATAGAGACATTGACCACTGCCGCGCTGCGGAGGGTTAGAGTGAGTGCGAATCGTACGCCTGTTCATGGTTGGTTTGGAATCAAGGTTTTTAGCCAACTCTCCTAAGTAAACTACCAGTGGTCGACCATTCCGGGTACAGACCAGGGTGTCGATTTTTCGTCGTCTCACTTTAGTGGGAAGACGTCTCTGCCGCGAGAATTCAGTGAATCGGGCTTCCTCAGCACAGGCATTTCGAGATGCTTCGTTGCATGTGAGCATTCCGCGAGATGCAAGAGAAGGTTAGTTGGGCGCAAACTTAGACACCCACACCCTGAGGCTTTCGGAGGTTATTCACTATAAGCTTATGTGTGTGAGCAGCTTGCACTGAAAGAATGGTTCCTGATTGCATTCCTCAACTTTTGATCGCCTGTCTCACGCAAGGAATAAGTCTAAGTGTGGTGATCCAAGAATATACTATGCGCCTACCCTGGAGCGGCGCGTTACAGTTTCAGGACATTGGCGATCAATCAAATTTGAATACTGACGTCAATCACACCTGCATGGCTTCTGAATACACGTCATTGGTGGATGATGCCAGCCAATCCAAGACAGTGGAGACAGAAGCAAGATTATGCGAGCAGTATTGCAATCCAATTGGTGGAAGCCCAGATGGCCAATAATTTCCCTTTGTACATATTATTTAACCACCTTCATTTCTTCCAATGAACGAACTACTCTTTACTACCACTCTTGTGGCCTTTTCCTCGCGTCTCGTTCTCGTGGGACATTGTGAACCGTGCCATTGCGGTCTAGTTCTTCTGCGATCCAGTCCGTGATAGCTGATTATTGATTCGTGTCCAATGATTCATATTGCGTGGGTGGTGTTCCGAATCCCGTGCGTATTACTACGATTACTACAATCATTACACCCCGTCCAAAGGGCGTATGATTCAATGAACTGGACACCGTCTGCCGGTCGATTGCGGTTTTCGCTGTCCGCCCGCTGTCTTCGGGGTCGGGCTTTGGCTAACCAAAGGCTCCGGTTGTGGATTCCTCAAGATAACTCACTTGCCTTGGCCTGGGAAATCTGGCAGTATTCATCCCACAATCCAATAAGGGAAGGTTTTTCTTTTTTATAAAGAATATTGTGCCATGATTTGTTCGGCACACAGTCTGTCCTCAGACAACTGTGTAATATAATATGATATAGTGATTCAGGCAGGTTATGCACAAATCGGGCCACAACATTTAAAATCCACTCGAGCACCATAGACCTGTCCGAAATGGCATATACACCGCTATGGACAGCTGAAAATGTGACTGGACATCGTAAATGGCCCACGTATGACACTTATTTCTGGAATTTCAGCTGCAACACACTTTAGGTAGAGCTTTCTACCGGCCGCCGACGATAAACAGCCAACTTTACCAATATCCAGAAAACCGGTTTATCCTACCTCTTCGAGGGAACATTGACCGCAAAATCAAGTAACGTGATAACTTAAAGGATACTGGACTGTCGATCAAGATACCTGTTACCTATCGAAAAGCGAATGTCAGCATTAAACACACTGCGGGGGAACACTTAGAGAGTCCAACAAATTATCATAATTAGTAGAAGTAATTGGATACAAATGTTTTCCAACAAAACCGAGCGATGAGACATCAAATTATCCTAACAAAACGAGAGGCAAGAAGATGGTCGATAAGACTGCGGTTGTAAGCGAAGAGAAATAAATACGACAGTATTTCAACGTGGTTTTAGAAAGCCGAGAAATCCAATAAACGTACAACTTTGGACCACGAACCCAAAGATAAACTTACGGTTCAAATAAAATCAAACAGCGATGTGCTGGGGAGGAAAACTTACCGCCTTGATGTCATTGATCAAATTGATTCCTGGATTCCAAGATCGACTACTGGAGCAGGTCAAGCCACTTGGGGGGAGCAAGTCAGACGTCCGGGAAGAAGACAGTATACCCATTGCAAGTAGACTGAGACCATCGTACATGAGTGCCGAGTAAGTCTGCACAAAAAAGAGAGGAACATAACGAAGAGCTGGTTTGGCTTATCTGCACCGGTGAGGCTTCGTTAAACTGTACCACACATAACAGTGTACCCACTTCTGTGCTAACGTGTCTTCTGTGAACCCCAGCGAAAGCATAACACATAATTAAACACAAATTTAAACACAGCAAATAGACACTTACCTCTACATTAGATATTAATTTTCTGTTATCGCTTTCACACTCACCCAGCAAACGAACGTGTCTTTCATCTGACCCGGTTCAGTCAGTTATCAATCCGACCGAACGTTTTGCCAACACAGAGAAGTCTGTATTTCATCTACTCTAGTTCAGTCGCGCGTGAACCGAAATCCGTGTTGCTAATCTGTTTCTAATGCTGGTCTTGTGTGCACCATAACGATCCTAGGCACAGAGAGGCGACGTTTGCCTGCGTGCACCTATGTAACTATTATCTTATCAGTCAGATTTCATTTCATGTCTATCCGGTTTGACTCTTGTGTTCGACGATGATGTTACCAACAAATTCTATCTCTCTCTCTGTTGATATCTTGGTAACCTTAATAACTGACCTTGAAATTAGGTGTAACAGCATAGAGATTTCTGTACCGAAATTCGCACTGTGTTGATAAATGTTTGAATATAAAGGAACGAACATGCTGAAGTCCGTAAATTACCTGGTTGGAAAGCACGTGATTATAACGTGCAGAATGGACTAAGTATTGAACATTGTAACGAAAACTGTGTTGGACAGTCTTACACGCTCCCTCACAAGAACATAAGGGAACAGAAAATTCCCTGTTTCCGAATTTCTCCCACTCCCTCAACCAAACTACTAAAGTCACATTGAACCGTTTATCGATTTCGATTATCGAGCATCCAGCTGTTTGTTTTCAGCCATTTTCACCGCATCAAATCACTGCTTTTGAGGTCACGTGTAAACGGTAGGTTTTCTTCCGGTCGAGGACAGTGGTAGACAGCAGACACAATTGTCTGACTCGATGTGACCTAGGTGAATAGAACATCGGTGGATACAGGTAAACTAATTCGATTTGAACCTCGTTCTTCATAACCTGATCATGGGTTTGATGGTCAACCTGATTACCCACTTTCGTACAAAGGGGCCGCCGAAAAGCCATTTTGTAATGCCATAACCTGGGGTTTATGCTCACAGACTATAGTAGGAGGATCAAATATATCTCATCAAAACAGAAAGAAGACAAATGTCGCGAGATGATAGGATTTCATTTATTCTTCTCAGTCGCTGACTTAAAACAAACAGGTACATATATAGCATATGGGATTAATCAATTATGGTGAACGAACGTGTAAAAGCATACAAAGATAACTAAATATCTGTCACTTCCCCAGTTAAGAATCTCAGAAACAATACAGTTCAGTGACTTTAGTGAGTAATACGAAATCTTAATTCAAATTATTTTTATGCAAAGTAAATTTGTCCTCCCGACTTATTATCAATCGAAGGAGGGGTATAACCAACTCTCGATCTGTCACATACAGTGCCCTATCTTGACGGTTATTCAAAAGTAAAGGTTGTATGTTAACTATGTCACAAACTACGGTTCCATCCGTTACAACATTTTAAGAGTGTTTTTCATAGACAATCGCAAAACGTTCCTCGCTCAAGCTATGAAGTACTCACGCATTCTGCATTTTCTGACATGAAAGCCTGTCACAGTGGTCTTCACATCTAAGTTACGGTTCCTCTAGTGTAATATACATTCCGTCTGAGCTTCACGTGAACTCCGAACCACATTTGGCAACAATTGATTGGAAATGTTTAGGCGATTCGGTGAACAGTAACACCATGGACGGAGGAGACATGCTGACCAACTATACACATTGAAATGCCGCTCGCCAATAGGACTACGCGTGTACACCTCGGCAGCATTTGTGGGTGTGCGGGCGTGCTTAGGTACACATGAAATACAATGCAAGTCATCCGGGATATGACGGACAGGCGATAATTACAAACACATGCATCAATGACAGAGTCTAACTGACGTTAATCAGTGTTCACCGGCCAAGGCAGATGAGACTTAAAAGCGGCGCGGTCACATGCGAGGCATGTGAGCTCAAGAAGCCATGAGCTCGATATGTGTATCGCTGGCGGCACTTACAAAGATGAACTAGGTGTAGAATGAGTACTACCGTGACTCTTCAGTGGTAACGGTGACACAGTGATATTGGATTTCCAATCATTTGGTAACTTATACGATAACGGACAATGGTTGTGTTGCTTCAAGGGGGCCAACAATCTCTCCCACTGTGGTTCGCTCATTGCCACATTTGAGACGGACAAAGGTGATGAGATGCTAACCTTTCGTTCTATCTCCTCAATCGCTGAGGTAAAACAAATCAATAATGCGACCATTGATCGATTGCATTTTCTATACGCCATCTGCGGATTGGTTGAGCATATTATGATCTGTGGGATAGCATGATATAATGCATTCTACCAAATCATTTGTATACTTATGTTTTGAATTTATATTTCGCCATTCAATCACTTGGGAATCATCTTGATGTGCCTTAGAAATTCTTGCATGCATGATAATTTCAATAACCTAATGATACTCATTCGGTTGTATTGACGGATATGATGACATAATTTGATGAACCTCCGTTTCAAAAACGTGAACGCTGCATCCCTGTCACCAAATTAAAGCGGAGTGGCACTAAAAACAACCGAAAAAGTAGTTGTCTTAGTTACTAGCAAGCAAACAACCGTGGTACACGATAGCAATGTTGGAAGTGCACCACTGAATACTTACGGGACTGATTCGACGAGAAGTGGACGAGCGAGCAAACCGTTCATCTTGTAATGCGGCCAAGCGCACATCGTCCAACAGAGCTCCAATCCCGTAACCCTTGTCCTCTGTAAGAGGCTGCAAAATTGATATGGTTGTAATGTTGGCCGCCCCGACCGCCCGAAATGCCTCCGGATCGACAAGTTGAATGTCCTACAAAAACATGGATGGATGGATGGATGGATGGATGGATGGATGGATGGATGGATGGATGGACATGACACAAAATGAAGATATTCAATTGTCTTCGAATCGACGGTTTGTTCGTTCACAGATGATGAATATACCAGTTTTAGCGATCGCCAGTCTTTTCGACAGTTCAACTAATTCTTTCACGCATGTTCGAAGCTAAAGCTGAGCATATGGTATCCGAGAATTTACTTATTATGCTGAACGAGGGAGATATTTTAAATAAGATGAATTCGGCGCCCTTTTGGTCAGGAGATGTGCCCCGAAGTTGCACTGTTGATGTTGCTTAGCCTGCCCACGAAACGTCAGCGAACAATACTTCCAGCTCGGAGAACACACCAACACCAACACATGGACTGTGATACTTTAAGTCTACTATCAAAGCTTTGGTTTATTTGGCACTGTTTAGCTACTTCTTGCACATTCCGATATTATTTTTTGAATCATAAATCTGTCTGCACACTGACGAAATAAATGATATGAGAACAAGTAGTGTAATTCGTTGAACATAAACCAAACGGAGTCGTGAAACGATCAACTTTTCTAAGCCTTGCTCGGTATCACCAGTCGTGTGAATTCACCAAATCAACTGGGAACTGAAAACGCAAACGCAATCACAAAACTGAGCAGATATGTAACCGTATCATTTCATTTTGTCCAGATACACAAAAAAACCATGTTTACAGTCCTACTACGAGTTACCTTAGCATTCGTCTTCAAGATTCATGATTCGGTCGGAAAAACTCCAAACATGGATGCTTCCACTGTCCATGATATCTAACAAATAGTTGCACAGCGCTTCTCAGCTTCACAGTTTTACTTCTCTACACTCTGTCAAGGACAGCGATACTCCTTTAAATGTACGATGTCCGTTTCTACCTTAACACAAACGTGACTACCTGGTAAAACGTACAGACAGAGACAGACAAAAGAAGGAACTGACTTATACACATACACTGACCGTACTGAACAAGATGTTATGGAATGTACATCAGGAGTCAACGAACTAGTACTTACCCAATCCGTAAAAATGTACCGGTAGAACTGCGTAGTCATGTTGTACGTTTCAATCTGCAAAATAAGTGTACGATCGGCTCATTTTGACTGGTGAAACTTACGAGATTGAGAAATTCTTGTATCTCCCAAAACGGAATATCCACAATAAAGTGGGCATACTGTTGCTGCATTTTCGAGAACTGTTTAATCACATAACGATGATTATCATTGGTCACATCCCATTTGCGCATCCGGACCGAGGTATCCAATGTCCGGATCAGGTAGTCGTATTTGAGTAAACCTTTGATTCGATACGTGCATTCGTGCAATAATGGTGGAGGGAGTGTTGGGAAAGAATGATGAAAATAATATCAATAAATACGAAAAAATACCAATAAAATTAACTGCATTAGTTTTTTGGCCCCTTAATCCTTAAATGTTTATCTTCTAGCCATGGCATTGTAAAACTTAAACACATTGGCATATTTCCAAACACTGATTCCGGGTAATTGAGAATCTCAATCAAAAGCTACGGAAATCTGTCCACTCATGTACCCCCCCCCCCCCCCACACACACACCTCAACGGTTTTGTCCCAAAGGTTGGTAGAATCAGTTCATCCGAATCTGATTCATCTGGTATATGTTGAAACGTGCTCAGCTGTTCATAAGATTACCGATGCTTCCCTATGTACTCATCCATTTAATTAAAATGTGTCTGGATTCAGAAATTGTACCAAATGGACCATGATAGGAGCACTTATACAAAAACAAAAACAGTCCAGATTCTTTGCATGCGATGGAAATGTTTGTGATGACAGACAAAGAGCACAGGACATCTGTTTCATCCTGTTTGGGACTAATCGGCAGTGCGTACATTTTGTGTCACTGTCAGGACTAGAACCGCAATTCTTCGGGCTGGGACTTCAAACCCTTACCCTTGGGATACAGGGTGAGCGGTTATCACCCTGTGCGAATGGCTCAATCAATTTCTTAGAGTAGCAAGCTTGGATGATCCCATTCGATTGTTAAGAGGCACCAGGCAGCAGACTAACAGGAGTGCCTGGTGCCTCTTAACAATCGAATGAGCTAATCCAAGCTTGCTACTCTAAACAAAATTCCAGATTCTTCTTTACGGACGCAATATGGCGAAACTGATCAAGTTAAAACAGATGATTTCCCGAGGGATTTACTCCCGGTGCCTTGGGCTAGCCAACGCCTGATTCGTAGAATACACCCGCAAAAACAATGCACAAGTGACTCATTTTCCCGAGCTCGCCAGATTGCGAGTGATCATTTGCTTCCGGAGACAGCGCACTTTTAGAGTAGTAGTAGTCCATGATGACTTGCACTGTAGTATGGACCACCGTCGTAACGAATGGAGCGGAAATTCAACTCGGTTTTCTTTAGAGAGTTGTCCGTTACCTCAATAAGTGTGTCTCGATGGCTTCCCATTTCGTTACGGTTATACTTAACTCAACAAAAAAGTCATTTTCGTTACATTTTTACTCCACTAGTGCTCGTCTAATCCCATCTATTACTTTTCGCCCGATTCCGTCATTTGACTGACCTCTTCTCGGTGAAATTTACTTTTGGCAATATGAATGACACTTACATTAGCTTGTTCACAGTTTTCCATTCTTCAAAAACGCATCACGCAAGCATTTTCTTGTTTTTTTGCATGCTATTGAATGTTCCCCTCAACAAGCATTCCCGAACTGGCTTGTTGTCCTTGTCAATTTGAACCAAATACTCGAAAAACATGCGCACGCAAACCGATACAAGATAACCTACAACCGAGCCATCTGCGTGTGCGTATAGGATTATAGTATCCTTGTTGTCGGCCCTCACCAGACGGACGAATCAAAATCACTGAGTTTCGTTTACTGGTTTTCGCATAACGCATAAGTTTCCCTCGACCAAGAATGAGATTGATTGTGCTTAGGAAATCGCGAAAACATGTTTATCTCGTGACCTAAATGTTTATTGATTTTTGTTTTCGTGACCGTTTGTGCGAAAATAATCGTATATCAATTTGCTCGATGAATTAATCACAACTACACTTTTGTCATTGATTTCAACTCCGACTGCTTGTGCCGTATGTCGGTCATACCCGCAGCGTTTCGTACATAACTCCTTGGGGATTTACGGACACAGTAGCGAAGCTCGATTACTTTGGTGTAATTCAGAATGGTCGGGTAGATGTCTACCGCATATTTTATGGCGAGGATAAGAAGAGGACAACTATGCCGCAGGCATTTCCCCCATCGCAATTCATTACTCTCCTACAGTTTAGTATATGACGGTTGTACGACGGCACAAAATTCATCATTGTCTATGTGAATCGCTATCATGCGACAATGTGAAAACCACGGTCAGAAGTGAACAACAGCTTTATGCGCGATTGGCTCGCTGAAGTCCGCTTACTTTCTTCCTTGTAGTAAATCAATGCAACAGAGGGCCACTGTGCAGCACGAACATAATCGTACAGGGCTTGACCGTAAGCCAAATAATGCGGGTGCACGTTCAAGGCGAATCCGTGAATTTTCTGCCTGAATCCCCAGTCGATTTGCAGATGCGGAATCCCGAACTGAGTCGTTAACGACTGGACTACATCGACTGCGTTCGGTGTGGACGGTCCGTAAATGGCGATCACCTGACGTTCCAATAGACGGCACGCTAAAATGGAAATGTGCAATCAATTCTCGAGCGGACCTCTTTGTGTGCACGCGCGACTCGTGACATTCGACAAAGTGACTTGAAAAAAAGTGCAATTTTTGTGGCACAAAAAGCAGCCGCCTGTCTTGCACGACTGCGCTGGAAGACAATTGTAAGTTTTATTTCTAAGCCAAAATTATTCGTAAAATAAGTGCCACCTTTTCCGTCATGGAAAAGTGGATACTCTTCACGGCTGCTCAAAATGAAAAAAAGGAAGGAGTTGCACCCGTGCCACTCACCGTTGTAGGTAAAACAGAGCAAATATGATCTCAAGAAAAGAAAAAGCTTTAAGATTCAATCCAAGGTTTTGATTTACAATTCTTCCTTTTCTTGGGTAATTGGATGTACTCATTTATAAAAATAGGTATGGTGTAGGAACAAAAATTCCATTACTCAACGGGATCAGTTCAAATATGACATTTGTTACCATTTGTTAAGTTAGTAGCCTTCAGGATTTTGTCTGACAGCGCCTAGTTCAACAAATAAACTGCACTGTACCAATTGATTTGGCATAAAATCGATTGAAACGTTTTTATAACCTTCTAATTATTGAATATGCAATTTTACAATCGATTTTCAGTAACGGGGCTGTGGACAATTCCAGACTGCCTAGAAAAGATCGGCAGTGGTGATCGGGGTTTGAAGACGCACCACCTCCGGGATGGCTGTTTAGATGACGTTTTGCCGCTTGACCAACAACGGAAATGGAAGCAGAAGTGATTTGTATAGTCCATGCAATGGGACATACAACACGCTAATGCATTTGATATGCCACGAAAATGTGTGATGGCCCACAAAGAGTGCTGAAAAGCTGTTTCGTTCTCGTCTAGACCCACCTCAGTAGTGCACACAATTTTTGTGTCACTGAACGGACTCGAACAGGGAGTTAAAAGAATTACTTTTGAGCTACACAGTTGGTCACAGACACTTGAGTTGGTGTCTATTGGTTACCCATATGCTCGAACAGTGAATAAAAGTGTATGAAAAGGGAGCAAATCACTGAGAGTATTAGTAAGATGACAGTAACAAAACAGAATGTGGATAGACCAGATTTATGCATGTTCAAAGCTTAGACGCAAAAGCTTCTGTCTACGATATTCAATCATGGCATTCAATCTCTCTAATCCTAATCCTGGGAAAGAGTCGTCAAGAGGTCTCCGACCACAACTCTTAATGCGTACCAAGTCTCCTAGTCAACATTTTCACACCATCATAACCGACCTCATTTGCAGTTTTTTCAACCACTATCTGCCGCGGGAAACGTCCCATCCCGAGGACGACTATGCGGAGATAGGCGTGGTACATCCCTTAGCCACCACGGCACGAACTGTGTGACAAATTTTCAGCAATAAAATGATGTCAGTTCCGGTCGAAGAACAAAATGAGGTGAATGGCAGTTGAAAGCGCTAAGGTTATCTACACCAAATACTACCGAACTTTGTGTGATCGCCAACGGAGAGTACTGGACAGCTGTTCGGTTCCTGTTGGGACTCATCCACACAAACCCACACACGGGTCCTGGTATCCGTGTTTGCTTTCACAAAAAATCAGGAAAATAATCAGTTCACTTACTCTGTTCATTCGAACACAGAGACCTTTGAATAGAACTCAGGTGCAATCCATCATTCAACAGAATTAATTCATCGTCAATTATAATAAACAAGATAGCCACTGAAGACCAAACGGCTTCAGTCACTGAAGAGCAACACATTAGAGCTGATGGTGGGGCTAATAGATATTGCTGACAGCGAGTTTACTCGGTCGAATAACAAACAGTTGCCATAGTGAAGTGACGGCAGTGATTATAATGAATGCAGGCAAATGTAATGGATATTTCGTTGCATGAATTGTAAATAAATATGATAATCAACTGGAAAATAGAATTTTTTGGGGCACAAATCTTCCAGAAGAAAACACTCCGATCACTAACCTTTTTGCGACGCCTCAAAACTATCATCACCATCGATCGTTTCAATCACCGGGACCAGTTGAATACGTCGACGTGTGGGTTCGTGCTTCAGCAGCAACTTGTTTGCCTCTTGAACGCTCTTTTTGAAACAGATCTCCTGGGCAACATCGTTTTTGTCGATAATTGCACCTTGAATAGACAAATATGAACAAATCCAATCAAACCTTTGCTACTGCAATATTTCATATAATGAACCTAAAACATTACACGCAGAATTAACCCCAAATGTCTGAAGCAAAAACCACGAATTATGTACCATTCATTTTCAGGGAGAATACCAATAAAGCGTTTAATTTTATCCGAGTTTTGGGGTCAAAGCAAAGGCACACTGTGTGTATATATCTTACCCACAGCCAACTCGATGGCTTCGTATGACCGGATTTTTCCGAATGACCGATGAGTGACTGTCCCAAAAAGTACAATGAACGTGAAAGCCCAATCAAACGGATTCATTCTTTCAAATATTCCATAAACATGAGCGGGATACTAGCTAAAAGAGGAGAAATAGAAGGGGGAAAATATAAATTTAGATTGGTAAGTGCTTTATTCCTGAATAAATCACAATCTAATCCTAAGTAGTGATAAAGTAGGTGAACAAAAAAGCACTGGAAGTAATCAAGCACATGGCATTGCGTTAGGTGTTATGAAAACCACCGATCAATAAAAACAAGTTTTAAAACAATACCAAATCGTACTGGTTTGCTTTGGAACAAACGATCTATTTGGTGATAATAGTTTCCCAACAATCATTCGTTCTATCCCTGTGATTTGTCTAAATTAGTTATACACTATTTCTTTCAAAATGCCACTTAGTAATTGGATAAGAACGAGTGTAAAGTTCTGTTATTGCATTTCCATAGCATAGCAACCGGTTCATTTCTGCGAACCCACACACAGTAATTCTACTTTCTTGGTAAAAAACGATAACACCTATATGAGACGACTTGACAGCTAACTGTTTGAACCCAAGGAAAAAACTCCTTCCTGAGCTCATCATTCATGTTGCTAGCCAATACACGCACTGGTCTCAAGTGAGCAAAGAGAAAACTGGATTTTTGTTGTCTCATAGCTCGTCTTCCAGGATTGTTTTCTGAACGCTTTGGCATTTACTGCCATAATCCTTTCCATCTATTCCTTCTGCAACCTCACTCAGAGCAACAGAACATTCCCTGTTGAGAGCAAGTTCGACCGTAACAGCTTTTTGTCATATCAGGCAACACGAGCTTGTGAAACAAACCTGTAGACTTATTGAGAAGAAATAACATACCATTAATAATCCATTTGCTACTATTGAAGTCAGTCGAGCGATGGTAAGATATTGTTCCTAGGGTTATATATAAATAAACAAGTCAGTAAATTATCTATCGAGTACCCCCAACCCATCCACGTCATCCGACTACCATAGTCTCTGTATCAGTAATAAACATAAATTATGGTAAATTAATTGCAATGGTGTTGTAGCCTGCTGAATCAAAACAGTGGATATACCCCCACCTATTATCCCTCACCGTCCAACTCGAACACTGCGACCTTTGAACGACTGGAAGGGTACTCCTTAAACCCACTGACTTGTTATGTGATCTGTACACATTATTGAATGAACCAATAAAAATAATTTCCTAACTATGAACGTACTATTAAATTCTGAAGCAGAATGGTCGTACAACGATAAAGTTTTATCCGTTAAATGACCATCACATTCAGCTCAAAGTTAATTGTGAGTAGTTGTGTTAAAAATACTATTTCGACTGAAAATCCTTCAGACGTGATCCTCGCGCTCACTTCTCAGTTCATTAAGTGAAATATACACTCGGGAAGTATTAGACTAGAGTTTAGCTCCTTGTGAAGCCCAGCAGTGGTACCTAAACACCGCCTCATACGAAATTTGAAGTCCGTACTCTTCGTGCGGAAGGCTCATGTTACCAGTGTTACTCAGCATAACACCGGGACATTCTCGAGTTACCCATACAAATTAGTTCAGATGTTATCTTCAGAGAAAGCCACAGTTCACTTGAACCCCATAGGAAAGGAAAGGAGACGCACTTCTTAACCGTAGTAGAAAAAGTCGACCAAATCCGGTTTTTCATGTAGGTAACGTGTAAATATTTTCAAGTAAATCAACTGAACGTTTAAAGGTTTCATTCTTTGAATACATCATCAACAGGTTAGCGCTGAAGGAAAGTAAATAATATGAAATTCAAACGATTCAGTATGAACCGAATTGTTCAACTGTATCCGACTCAGATGTTGACCATAAAGCTGTATTTTATACACTCCAACCAGTCCTCAAGTGATGACAGGCACGACTGACCTTGAACGCGGCAAATGTGGGCATTAACAAATGCTTCTTGGGCAAGGAATCTTCGGGTGACTTGCTTCGTAGGATCAATAATAAATCCTAATGCATGATGAAGTGCGTTTCGTATTTACCAAAGCATATCTAAGCTATACAAGACTATTTGCGCAGCAGAACTATCACTCAGTGAAAATCGTTTAATGGCATTTTGTTTTAACTGGCTTTAGTTGCGCTTATGCCCCAGCGAATGACATGAACAGATGAAATGGACTTGATTTGTATGGGGATTGCTAGCGGGAACTTGCTGTCTATTCAATTATTCGTCCAACCGGGTGACGCAGGCCATTTTACACCCCGTAGTTTACATATGTTGGTTCCGCTCAAGACTGAATGTGGCCGAAACAGATTTGGGATAGAAAAAGTGGGTTGAATTGTATTTCTTGACCAAGAAAACGAGTCCTGATTTTGGTTAGGCGGTTTAGGCAGGGGAGTGTGTGTGCGGGTGTTTGTGTGAAAACCCCGTGAATGCTAACGTTTATCACTCTCGTTTACCTGGAGGTGGCGGTACACTTACCTCAGAAAACCAGCGTCCTGTACCCTGAGAACGTACCAGCTCAGCTTATGGCAACAGTTATTGCGGTAAAAAAGATATAAAATGACGCATATCTAAGCGTTTCACATTGTTTCGTTGATTGTGTAGAATTACTGCTAATAATCAGTGAAAATTCGGGTAATTGAGGCATTGTGGAAGAAGTAGTGTTACCTCGAAATAGTTATTTGTGATACAGACTGGTAGTGTTTTCTAAGTGAGAAATTATTCCATTCTTATTTAAATGAGTTAATTTAACTTACGAGAGATGAACCGCTCGTGATAGAGCAGGTCGACCGAATTTCGTATCCTTCTATGAACCCAATAATTTATTCCATTGTTACGAAGATTTTAATCCAACCATAGCCAAATGATAACTTGGGTGACATATGGCATAATCTGTGACATTATAAAATAACATTCTCTGTCTAAAACTATTCAACATGTTTTCTTACTTTTCCAGCTGCAGTATATTTCATGTAATCAGCACTGGAAAGATAAATTACGTAGTGATGATCGGGTGGTCAAAGTCTCTATGACTGGCCTGCTATGGGGCCTAAGTTTCCAGATTCGAACCTTACCACACACACTGAGCTTTGCTTTCGTCTGTCTCACTACCACGGCTGTTCTATTAGAGTCTTAAATGGCTGGCCACTCAAACTCACATGGCTTAGGTTGGCAAGTATCAAGAGACAACAGTAGGTCTTCTGAGTTTTGCAGGTTTATTCCTTTATCGGCTGTTTATCATAAAACAGAATGTAATCCGAAAAACCTATGTCAAGAATTTTCATGATGATCCCATTCATCTCCACACTAGTTTGAACGGTGCGCGGTGAGAAAGAGCACCACTCAGACCAGCAGGAGAGGTAAGTATTATCATCATCGAACTATGAATAATATTCAGTCACGGAATAA